TAGCTTGAAATTCGGTGGATAATAGGCTTTTCCCTCTATCTTTTTCCACTTAAATACCACGTTTTTTGTCCGCCATAGACTTGCAATCATATTGAAAAATATGAGGAGCTGATATATTGTCCGGATTCTTCAAAAATGTCGCGGGGTGTGTGTCTGATCTTCCAAAACTAGTACATTTTTGGAGGATTCGACACGGGTGCAACAACATTTTTTGAGAGTCTGAGCAACATACGGAGCTCACTTGGAAACCATGATAAAAAAGAAAACAGGAAACCATGAATATGAAAGAGTTCAACTTGTATGCATTGACAATGTGAAAGAAACTTTACACTATCATATCACCTAACACACGACTGCAAGTAATCATCCTCAAAAAATGGGATTAATGATCTAGAAAATAAGGTAGATTAATGGCAACTACTACATTGATAGTGTAAAAATCTTTACACTTTCAGCATATATAGGTTAAATAATAGAGGATGCTATTAACAGAATGCAAATGTGAAGTTGTAAATGCATTCAACAGAGGTTAGTCTTAAATCATACAGCACAAACCAATCCATTTACATTGTTTGAAATGACTTGCATTTAGAGTTATTCTTAATCTGGAGATAGAAATTGACCTTCAAACATGAATGTTTTTCAGGATCATCTTGGAGAAGTAGTGTTTGTGGATCTACCAGAAACTGGTGCTGCTGTTTCACAAGGAAGCAGTTTTGGTGCTGTTGAAAGTGTGAAAGCTACCAGTGACATTAACTGTCCAATCTCGGGCGAGATCGTTGAGGTCAACACAAAGCTCACTGAAACACCTGGTTTGGTAAATATTACTCCAACTATTTCTTGTTTTCTTTCTTTCATTCTCCTTGTGACCTATAGGTCAAGGGTTCGAGCCGTGGAAGCAGTCACTAATGCTTGTATTAGGGTAGACTGTCTATATCACACCCCTTTGGGTGCAGCTCTTCCCTGACCCTGTGTGAATGCAGGATGCTTTGTGCACTAGGCTGTCCTTTTTTTCCTTCATTCTCTTCTTGGTGAAATGACAATGTCGTTCTCCTTATGACCTTTTTCGATGTTTTCTTGATCACCTTTTTGCTATCAAGGTTAACTCGAGTCCATATGAAGACGGGTGGATGATTAAAGTGAAGCCGAGCAGTCCATCCGAGCTAGAGTCTTTGATGGGGTCCAAAGAGTACACAAAATTCTGTGAAGAAGAGGATAGTCACTAAAACTTGAAGGTGTTTTGTTTATTCAACTTGGACTAACTTTGCCTGGTTAAGGCTGATACTGTGATGAAACTTCCTGTCACTTGTTAAAATTCTACAAAAATCAAAATAACATCCACTTTTCTGGTGTTTTCTTTGCCTTGCGCAGAGTTGTGATGTAGTTTTTGGTTATTAAGATCATCTTGCTCTCTGATTTTTCACCTTCCAATTCTTTCTACGTAGTAATTTTCGCCATGTTAAAGTTGGTAAACAAAAGACTAGCCGCTTAATTATATTACACATAAGTCTTAACAAGAAGAGGAGCCTTGGCATAACTGGTAAAGTTGTTGTTATGTGACCAGTAGGTCACGCATTCGAGCCGTGTAAATTGCCTCTAGCAGAAATGCAGAATAAGGATGCGTACAATAGACCCTTGTGGTTCGTCCCTTCTCCGTACCCCGCGCATAGAGGGAGCTTAGTGCACCGGGATGCCCTATAAGTCATAACCAACTTGAATTTTGTCCTTATATTTGATAATTCCCTCAACACTTCTACTTGTTACTGGTATACTTCTTCCTTAGGGAGAACTATTCACTTGTTATAGTCTTCCAAAGTTGGACGATAACCATGTAATCTGAAGGGGGTAATTAACTTGAATAATACAAACAAATTGAAGACTTATAGCTAACAGACATACAAGCAGGTCTAAAATGCCCTACAACAACACAAGGAAAACATGGTACACAAGTTAAATGAATCTTTTTCTTTTGATAATGGTGGTGTGTCCTGAAATGAGCTTAACTGGAGTTACATTGTCAGTCGGTGAGGATTCATATAGCCGACCCCAACTTGTTTGGGATTGAGGCGTAATTTTTTTTGTTGATAAATGTGGCATCAACGAGCTTGTGAGCACCTCACTATTCCATCGAGTACCACCAATGAAATAGATTTGTTTGTAGACAAGAATGTGGTTTAGGCTCAACATGAAATAGAGAAAGATGCAATGATTATTGACATGATGTTGAGAGCTTCTTGAGTCTTGCAAGACAATTATCAGTAGGACTAGGAATCGGTAGATACGCCACCCTTATTTCTGGATTAAGCCGCTCAAGCCTGCGCAGAACAAATTCAAGCCAATTATGCCTAATTCTTAACTCAATTATATCATGTGGAGTTGCAGAACTCAATGTGTTTATAATGTTAATACCTATAGTAAAGAAGAAAATAGTGAAGAAATACTGAAACTTCAAGCCTAGCCAACTCTGCTCCGGGGCACAACCGGGGGCCTGCTCCAAAGGGAAGAAAGGCGCTAAATGGCTTTGTCTCATGAGCCTGTTAAGAATCAAATGTGTAACTTCCTTAGCCATAAAACTTAGTATATCATGTAACCATGACCAAATCTTGGTTTTATCATCCATCTTAGGATGAGTATAAAATGGCAGTCCGGTGCACTAAGCTCCCTCTATGCGTGAGGTTCGAGGAAGAGCAGGACCACAAGGGTCTAATGTACGCAGCCTTACCCTGCATTTCTGCAAGAGACTGTTTCCAGAGCTCGAACCCGTGATCTTTTGGTCACATAGCAGCATCTTAGGATGAGTATAACAAGTGGAAAATTCACTCTAAAGGAAGAAGAAACCAGTAACAAATAGAAGTGCTACTTAATACTTACATCCCATCTTAAAGGATTAAACTCTTTGGGGTTCACATAATTGTTAGGATCCAAATGAACTTGCCTAATCCAAGTCAATACCTTCCATCCTTTCGGTATGGTGTACCCTACAAAATTTACATAAGACATCTTATTTGCTCAAAATTTGCCAAAGGAAGGTGAACAAGAGAAGAAAAGATGAAGTTTACCATTCATGTTGATGGTCCTTTTCGCGTTTCTATAAATCGCTAAGGTGATATTAGAACAACGTAGAGTTTCATCAATCACCTTGAATATAAACACAATCTATGTCAAAATTCTTGAACTTTAAAAGGTCTCTTATGAGTTATGACTTGCTTGCATTTTCGTACGACTAGATTATTTACCTTGGTTAGATATTTCATCTGTCTAATCTCGTCGTAGCTTAGATTTTTATCAGAATGCAGCCTATTCTTAACAATTTCCTGTTGTTCCTCCTGAAAATATAGAATTTCTTAGCATCACTTAACTAGTCAAACATTAATAAGGTTCATATACCTGCATCTCAAATAAGATTACTTGTTATTACCTTAGCTTTTTGGAAGAATTCAGGATGTTGTTCTAAGTACATAATAGCCCATGCTGTAGTATGAGCAGTAGTTTCATGACCTGCAAATGCATACACAATTAACAAGTCGATGATCTCCTCATCGCTTAATCTTTTGCCTTCCTCGTCTTCAATGCACATAATCAAATCCACCATATTGCACTTTACTCTTGATTTATCCCTCATATTCATGACTTTTCTTTCATCTATTACTGATTGAAATATCTTGATTAAGTTTGCTCTAGCCTAGTGCCACAACAACAGAAGGGAACACAAGTTAGTGATTAAGAAACAAACATCAGCTTTAACCTCTTAAAATTTCATAGGAGTGCAGTTTTCCCTTTTCTCTAATAGGGGAAGTGCAGGGGCAAATGCTTATTCTTCGACTTTGGGTGTTTGGTATGATGGAAGTCATTTTCTGAAATATGGCTTATTTTCCGATGTCCTGGAGAATGAAAAATATTTTCCGGAAAAAAATATATTTATTAAAGATTGATAATTTTATTACCAAACCGGATAATGTTCTGATGAAAATTTTGAGTATTAAAGATTGATAATAATGTCTAATGTGTTGGTTAGAGCAATGATATGAAGTTACGAGTTGAGATAGTTGTAAAGGAAAATGACTTCCGTCCAAAGTGATAACAAGATCTGCTTACTCCCTCATTTAACAAGATCGTGATGACAAGTGGCCTTTTACTGAACCTCGATCAGCTTAAACTTGAAACTGCCTCAAAAGTAAATAGATCCCGACATACTTTCTGAAAATATGTTTCTCTATATCAAACACACCCTCAAACTCTATATATTATATATTGTGAACTTTCAAAAACTATATATCGATACTATAGTACTCACCCATTGTCACATATGATTAGTGAATGCGGTGGTACTTTGCGCCCACTGACTTAAAATTTTGTTTCTGTCTCTAGTAAAGGGTGTATAAAAATGGGAGATAGATCTAACCTTGAATGCCCTATGATAAGCAAATCCAGGGAGATTGATAGGTAGAGCCATAAAACCATGTGAATAAATTTTGTACACTTTTTCCACCATATCTAACCATTTGGGATCAATTTCACTACCCATCATAATTCTTATAATCACTTCAAATGTAGCCTTCTTCATTTTACTTACAAACTCAACTGGTTTTTCTCCTATTTCAGCCCATTTTTCATATGAACTCTTCACAACTTCCTCAATTAGACCAAGATACAATGACAATGCCTGTTGACCTTTAATTGGAGCTGTTGTTATTCGACGAAGACGCTTGTGTTCTTGATTTGTAATTCCATGTAATGCTTTCTTTCCAATTAGATTTAACATTCAGGCCAACCCAACTCAAAGTTTTCATTATCCATCAAGATTTTCCTGCATATTTCTGGTTTTGTGACAATGATGCTTGGCATTCCAAACATAAATGCCTTGTACATTCCTCCTTGTCCATACCTTCATTATATTTCATATTTTTGACCAAATAATAAAGATTGTTAGATTGCTATCACTAAAGAAATCAAATCAATCTAGTTAAGCCAATAGCAAAAAGAAAGGAAGAAAGAAAGGGAGCAACGGAGCAACCGTAAAGTTATTTATGTGTGACCTATAGGCCACGTATTCGAGCCGTGTAAGCAGCCGCTAATGCTTGCATTAGGATAGGCTGTCTACATCACATACCGGGTTCCTTCGTGATGCCTTGCGCACCGAGTTGAATTTTTTTTTTTTAATATAAAAGAAAGGAAGAAATATTCAAATTTACCCCTCTAATGTACGAAATATCCTATTTTATCCTCCGTTATACTTTGGTTATTAGCAACTTGTTTCATATTTATCCTTAACTTGAACGATGCTATAGCGTGCACTAGATGAATTCTACATATTAAAATAATTTGAGAAAAAGTTTCAAATTTACCAATCTACTTTTGGTTGGTTTAAAATTATCCTCGTTATACGTCAAATTAGAGCTCCGTCTGGGTCAACGAAAACTACAATACGATTTGCGGACCGCAAGGATATGAAAGTACATAAATGAGGGCAAAATTAAAATACTCATATAGTAGATGATGTTTTTTTTAAAAATATCTTTTTCCTAAAAGAAGAGGATAATTATGGTAGGAGACATACCTAGAGGTAAAGTAAGAGATAAATGAATCAGGATCACCATATTTGAAAGTAGTAAAGAAAGTGAACATATTCCCAATAAATGGCCAGCTCATGTCACCTGGAGGTATGCAGTAGTACTTGTTTGAACTAAATTTGCTAGTGTAAAACCAGTCATTTGCTCTCTTTAGCAAACAATAAATGGTAAAAATCCCAATTGCCAAAACTGTGAAAAAAATGGATCCTAAATCATACTCCATTTTCACTATTTAGGCAAACCAAGAAAGTTTTTGCATGCAAAATATAAATATGATTCAGTTGGTTTTATAAAGAGTACATCACATTCAGAGCAGTTTTCATAAATTAGACGGCAGATAATGACATTATGTTTGGACACATATATTATATTGTTTAATATGGTGTCATCTGCCGCTTCACCAATTTTTTTATTTATTAAATGTATATATGTACACAATTATATATATATATATATATATATATATATATATATGCTTGAAGAATAATGCAAAGTAAATTTCTGTTTGGAATTGATGAAAGTATTTAAAGTTTTATTTGAACCCCACAACCTCAAATCCAAACCAATGTACTAGCTCAATGGTGATACATGACAACGATCTTTGTTGTTTAATGCTACAACACGACGTAGCTTAGAGGCGAACTGAGGATTTAAATTTAATTTGATCTTTAAAGTTTTAAGTATTGGAGTCATTTTTTCTTATAACTATAGTGTCCAAGTTAGTTTGCGTGCGCCTCGACTGATTCCACGGGATACTTGCCACCTACTACCAAAATTATGCATAAGCAAAATTAGGATTTCAAGCTTATTAGTTCGGAATTCTAGAGCATTTGAGTTATTGAGTTCTAAATTATTAAATTGTAAATAATCAATGAATTGTTCAAGACAAATACAAGGTTTGAACCAAAGCTACTGGGTTCGCTGAACCCGTAGCTAGAACACTAGCTACGCCCCTAAAAACAGGTAACATGTAATTCTATCCACCAAAACTTGGACGAATGAGAAGAAATCACTTAGTGTTTTTTTTTTGCCTCCACTGGGATTGAACCTGAAACCTCATAGTTCTCACACACTTCACTTTTGTTCAATGCTACAACCAGTGGCGTATGCACCTTATACCATGCGGTGTCACGGAACACCACTTGGTCAAAAAGAGTTACTAAATATTTATAAGAAAAATAAAATATTAGGAATACGTATAGACAATGACACTGTTTGTCATTATAGTGATCTATTTATATATATTCATTTTGCTAATTATGACACCGCTTACATAAGATCCTATGTACGCCACTGGCTACAACATGATGTAGAGGTTACAAACGATCTTTGTTGTTTAATGCTACCAGATGCAGATCTAGAATTTTAATTTTATGTGTTCAATATTCAAAATTTTTAGCATTGAATCCATTATATTTTTAAAGTTATGAGTTCATATCTATTATTTTCTATACATAAATTTATATTCTATGGCGAAAGTACTAGATTCAGTTGAACCCGATAACTTTATGTTGCATCCGCCCCTGAATGCTACAATACGATATAGAGACGAATCGAGTATTTAAATTTGATTCGATCTTTTAAAGTTTAAAGTACCCCGGAATTGTGAAGCCGGCTCGTACTGTCGATGCATGTGTTAGTCTTGTCCTCTCCGTCTTATATTTAATTTTATCCAATATGGAAAGGCCAAAAAAAAAAGGCGTTAGCAAAAGATTAAACGGCAACCGTAATTGACTATTTGACTTATTCTTTGACAGAATTATTATATTTTGAGTGCCGCACAGCTAACCAATAATTTTCTTATTTGATTTGGGTCGATTTTTTTCTAAAAATAATTAAATCGATTTTTTAAATTTCATAACTAAATCAAACCAATTAAGTTAATTTTTTATTAAAATTTTACAATTTTTTCAATTTTTTGTCGGTTGTTTCTTAAATAGAGACCAAGGTGGATTCATGTGTAACCAAATTTTCGTAGTCTTTTTCTTTTTTGCCACAACAAAATAAAAATTATTTGGATGGCGACACATATTTAAGGTGTGCATAAAGTCATCTAAACCCACTATTTTTTGCTCGAATCACTTTTGCATGTGTGAAATATTTTTAAATCACATTCTGAATCTGTAGAAAAGCGAAAGTTTCTCCATTTTCGAAACTCGGTAGGTTGGTCTGTCTGTTTCCCATTTTGGTAAACATTGCAACAAAATATGAACTTTTGCACACTTATGAGCCACAAGTTATCTTACAATGTGCCAAGTATTGATTTTCTAATATCATTATATTCTGATCATAATAACCTTAGAGCACTTTTCCTTTATAAATTTTGTCTAACCAATGAATACTCCTCTCCACATTATTTAGAACTTGATGTGCTCCTACTTCAAAATCTGTGCAACATCTAACAGTCTGCTTTCACTCTTCTCCACTCATATGATTATCACATCCCAAACAAACATTAAGGGCCAACCAAACACTACAATACGTCAAGATATACTAATAATTTATGAAATTTTTAGTTGAAATTGTTTCATGTCAAAACTACCTACTCTTAGTCTGATTTTTAGCCGTAGCCAGCTCGAACCACCTCAGCCTGGTTTGCCGTTCTAGAGGACCCTGAACAAGAAGCGACAAAGATATCTGATCCAGACACTGCTAAACCACGAGAGATTGTTCATCAACAATTTTGAAAAGTCAAGTAACTTTGTGACTTTAGATTAGGGTAAGGTTGTGTACAATAGACCCTTGTAGTCCGGCCCTTCCCAGATCCCGCGCACAGCAAGAGCTTAGTCCATCGGGCTGCTCTTTAAGTAACTTCGCGACCTTCGATTCAGGGTAATGTTGTGTACAATAGACCCTTGTAGTCCGATCCTTCCCCAAACCCCGCGCATAGCGGGAACCGGTGGCGGAGGCAGGATTTCCGTTGAGGGGGTTCAAACAAGGAAAAAGTTATAAAATTGAAAGAGGTTGTGCGCAGTGGGAATTGAATAGTGACCTCACAAAGATTTTGAACCCCTTGACTATTGAGCTATGCTTTTGGGCTATATCAAGGGGATTCAAAATATAATATATATAAATAAAAAAAATAGATTTTACATTACATATACAATGTAATTTTTCGGCAAAAGGGGTTCGGGTGAACACCCTTCCGCCCCTCTAAATCCGTCCCTGACGGGAGCTTAGTGCACCGGGCTGCCCTTTAAGTAACTTCGCAACCTTAGATTCAAGGTCCATGTCTCTAACATTGAAATGACAACTGAAGCAAGTAACAAAGTAAAAAACAGAACACATTAGAATGTCTGTGGCAAGGTGCATGTAATTTGCCAATTCACTTTTATTAATAATACACCCTTGTAGGAAGTAAACATAATGTATCTCACACCTAAAGGCAGATTTAACCACACCCCAGAACAAGGATTTCAATCACAAGAACTAAACAAACAACCACAAATACATAGAACTGGAATGTGCTCCATCCATAGAGAGCACACACGGTTCACTCATAAGGTGAGCTTTATGATACAGATTACAGAGAGCGATGACTTATTAGCGAGCAACTATAGCTATATGCTAGCTGCAAACTTCACATATAACCATTACACAGAACAGCAACCTCTGAAGATTGAGTATGAGAAATGGACATTAATTCCGACCTGAAATCCTCAGTTCCGTGACTTCCCTCCCTTGAAGCCACTATAGTTTCGTTCGAGCTGCAAGAATTCTCTACAAATACTATATCTGGTAACGAGTTAGATAAAGCGATGAGCAATTCACGTGCCACCTCGAAAGGAGCCTCCTCTCCAAGTGCTCTATTTGCCATAAAACTGTAAATCCTTCCACCTGAAATCTGAAACAACTAGTTGGTTCATACATTTTCTAAATGTAACATCCACTTTAAAGCTACAACAACAACAAACCCAGTGTAATCTCACAAGTGGAATGTGTGGAATAGTGTGTACGTAGACCATGGAATGTAGAGAGGTTGTTATCAACTTTAAAGCTATAAGCTAAAATTTGGTTCTTTCAAGTTTAAAGAGGCATGATGAATGATAACCAATAGAAGTGCTATCTCAAAAGCTAGTAGTTAGCTAATGCCCCAAAGCAATAATACTCGTCTCTTAATGTTCTATTGTCCCGCTACAGCAACAACCTATGTTGCACGGGCTCTCAGAAAATAATGCCGGGTGCGTGTAATAATGTAATTTTGGAGGATCCGATACGGGTGCAACATCATTTTGGAGAGTCCGTGCAACATAGGCAACAACAACAACAATATACCACGTGTAATCCCACAAGTGGGGGTGGTAGGGAGGGTAGTACGTACGTACGCAGACCTTACCCCTACCTTGTGCAGGTAGAGAGGCTGTTTCCGCTAGAGTCTAGACCCTCGGCTCAAGGAGAACCATTGCCCCGCTATAGCACTTACACAAACTATTCACCATAATACTTTCAAGAATGGTCAGCCATTGGAGAAAATATTTTCAAGAAATGGCCAACAATTCCTGCTTGAAACAGTAACTATATGTGAAGGAAATGACTAGAAAGCATTGATGTCGACAACATGATGGTTCACCTTAACAGTAAAAGAAACATTCAATAGAATCATTAAAGGCACATAATAAGTAAATTATACTATATTAGCGAAGGCATATAATGACTGGAGTTACTGGATTCTGATTGACTTAGTACTTCCTCTGTTTCAATTTATGTGAACTCATTTAATTGGACATGGAGTTTAAGAAAAGAGAGAAAACTTTTGAACTTGTGGTGTAAAATGAGGCACATTTATTTTGTATGGCTATAGTAGAGAAGGATCTAACTTGTCTCCTTTGAGTTTATACCAGATGATATAAGTTCAACCATAAACACTTGTTCCTGTTTTCCTCCCTTTTTAGTCAAAAGGTATGTCCAATGTTATGATGAACTTCTGTTATATTTTTACATAAACTCCACTCATGTAAGTTTCACATAACATAGTCGGTTCCAAGCCCAAATAAAGAAAGAAGGTTGCGATAAGTTGACAACCAGCATAAAAAAATTAATCTTCTGAATGCCAACAGAACGGATACAGAGGATTCATATAGCAAACCTAGTTGGGATTGAGTCGTAATAATTTGAAATACAACTACAACATAAGCAAATAACGTCATTTTTGCCCCAAGACAAAAGCTGATGGATGGAGGACTACTTTTAAGAAGGCGACTTATAATTAGCATAACACATAA